GGAATTCTCTGAATTTCTGAATTTATGATCTTCTGAATTTCTGAATTTCTGAGTTTCTGAGTTTCTGAATTTCTGAATTTCTGAATTTTTGAATTTCGAAATTTCTGAATTTCTGAATTTCTGAATTTCTGAATTTCGAAATTTCCGAATTTCTGAATTTCTGAATTTCTGAATTTCTGAATTTCTGAATTTCTGAATTTCTGAATTTCTGAATTTCTGAATTTCTGAATTTCTGAATTTCTGAATTTCGAAATTTCTGAATTTCTGAATTTCGAAATTTCTGAATTTCTGAATTTCTGAATTTCGAAATTTCTGAATTTCTGAATTTCTGAATTTCGAAATTTCTGAATTTCTGAATTTCTGAATTTCTGAGTTTCTGAGTTTCTGAATTTCTGAATTTCTGAATTTCTGAATTTCGAAATTTCTGAATTTCTGAATTTCTGAATTTCTGAATTTCGAAATTTCTGAATTTCTGAATTTCTGAATTTCTGAGTTTCTGAGTTTCTGAATTTCTGAATTTCTGAATTTCTGAATTTCTGAATTTCTGAATTTCTGAATTTCTGAATTTCTGAATTTCTGAATTTCTGAATTTCTGAATTTCTGAATTTCTGAATTTCTGAATTTCTGAATTTCTGAATTTCTGAATTTCTGAGTTTCTGAGTTTCTGAATTTCTGAATTTCTGAATTTTTGAATTTCGAAATTTCTGAATTTCTGAATTTCTGAATTTCTGAATTTCTGAATTTCGAAATTTCCGAATTTCTGAATTTCTGAATTTCTGAATTTCTGAATTTCTGAATTTCTGAATTTCTGAACTTCTGAATTTCTGAATTTCTGAATTTCTGAATTTCTGAATTTCTGAATTTCTGAATTTCTGAATTTCTGAATTTCTGAATTTCGAAATTTCTGAATTTCTGAATTTCTGAATTTCTGAATTTCTGAATTTCTGAATTTCTGAATTTCTGAATTTCTGAATTTCTGAATTTCTGAATTTCTGAATTTCTGAATTTCTGAATTTCTGAATTTCTTATCTTAGATTTTCAAATTTTTCATGAATTTCAAATTTCTTTAATTCAATAGTTTCAGTCGCTCTTCGAGAATCAAAAATCTCAACTCTCCATCAAATTTTCAATTCTTTGGATTCCAAAATTTGGTCCACAAGAATTCCACCAATTTCCAAACTTCCGGATACTGTAGTTTGTGTCGCTTGCTCAAAACTTCCAAATATTTTTAAGCTGAGTAATGTGGAAATCACCGCCCATCTGTTTTCAGACTCTCATTTATTCTATGTAAGTTAAATTTATTTTTTTGGAACAAATGAATTTTCAGCTCATCCAATTTGGTTTCACCCAAAAAGACTACGATTGGTGGGAGCAATTTTTGAAGAACTTGGCTGAATTTACAGTAATCCAAAAAAAAGGTATTTCCAAAAATTTTGAAATTCTGAAGTTCCGGGAATATCAGAAACTCGAATTTTCCAAGAAATTCAGAAAACTAGAAATTCGGAAATTCAGAAGTTCAGAAATTTAGAAACACTAAAATTTTCCGAATTCCTTCTAGATACAACGACTGAGAACGGTCAAAGAGATGCGGAAGAACTTCCCGAATCATCTGAAGTCTCTTCTGGACCAATCGCAATTCCAAAAGTTATCAAGGCATCTGGAAAAGGGAGTTGGCAATTTCAGGATTATCCACTATTTCATCCGAACAATCAGCCAGATAATAATTCAATCACTGGTGATTAATTTTAAAAGAACTTTTATGACCTAGAAAATTTACAAAGTTCTTATCCTTTTTTTTAAATTTTTTTTAGGTCAAGAATTGATTCATGAAATGGAAAAATTGAAGAAAATGATAACTCTTGAACCGATGCCTGAAGAATATAAGGAATACTTCTTTTTTGTCAATGCCAGATTTCCAAAAATGGGATTAAGGGACCGAGCGGTTAGTTAATTCTCTGAGCTTTCTTTCTTAATCCTTAAAAATTTGTAAAAACTGTAAAAATTCGCATAAAAATTTTTAGGCCTTCTGTCGTTTCTGTGACCATATACCGCTGTCGCCAATGGCATTTTTTGTTCATCTGTTCAGTGATGAGCATATCTCGAATTTATCGAAATTCAAAATCTCCAAATCTTCTTTCGAGTTCTGGGCCAACCATTTGAATCATTGCCGGCGAATCGCAGCATTTCGAAAATCCCATGAAATGAGTTATCTTCCATTGTTCGATGGAGATATTTGGGATTCGGATAAGAGTCGATTGGAGAAAGAGGAAATTCAAAGTCTCGTTGAATCCTTTTCCAACATTTCGGAGGATGATTTCATCAATGAGAAGGTTTACGTATCGGTGATCTTTAGAAATCCCAAGTTTAAGGTAAGTTTTCTGAAGTTCCTAAAATGAAAAAAAAAACAAGAATTTGACGAGATGGGGGATCGAACCCCCCCCCCCCCCAACCTTCATATTGATGCGGAAAAGCTCATCCGGCTGCTCCACCACGAATTCACAAAAGAGAGAAGGGCGCAAGGGCTCCGGGACATTTCGCCACCGTGATAATACAGGCAAATGGATAGACTTCAGGCTACAAAAACAATTTTAGAGTTTCGAATATCTTTTTTCTGACAGGACACATCTTAAAATTCTGTAAAATTTGAAATTTATTTTTTCAAATTTTTTCAAAAAAAATTTTTTCGGATTTTTCAGGGCTTTAAAATGTGTTCCATCAGAAAAAGCATATTTGAAAATCCTAAAATTGTTGTTGTTGTCGGAAACCTATTCATTCGTCTGTATTGTCACGTTGGCGAAATGTCCGGCGGCGAAATGACCTAGTGGCGAAAAGTCGCAGTGGCGAAACGTCCGGTCGCGAAATGTCCTGGAACCGGCGCAAGACGTATAAGAAAGAGAGTCTATTTCAGGATTACTGCCAAGCTTGCAACACTCAAATGCCACTACGAATCTATCATTACGCGAAGCATCTATACTCCGAAGAACATTTATCCAATATTCGTGAAGTTTCACAAAGAGACATTGACTTTTGGATGCACGCCTTCAGAATTCCCGCTTTTGAGTTCATGGATCCATCGTTAGATGAGACGATAATATGTAATAAGAGTTTCTCGATGCTTTCTATGAATGTTATGATTTTCAGACAAACCAATTTTCGACGAGATCCCTTTGTTGGAAACATATGGAGGACCAAAGAAGCTGAACTATTCGGTGATCGAGCAACTCGTGAAATTGGCGGAAAACTTGAAAGCGGGAAGAGGAAACGAGTATTTGTCGAATTTCTATGACATGTTTGCGATTCCAGTGAGTTACTGGAAGATTTGTAAAATACCAGTCGGTTTACGTCTCTTTGGTGGTAAACCTCCTGTCTCCCTCTTACAATAGCCGCAATTTTATAAAGAGGTCCCATCACTTTTTCAGGGGCTATATTTTAGGGTCTATGCACGCAAATTAGAAAATTAGGAGTTTCTGAGCTTAAGAAATTCATTATTTGAAAACTCATAGTTTCACTAGTTTCGGAATTTAATATCTCTGACATACCTGTAGATCACCTATGAAGAAAGTTACATGTTATCACAGCTGCCGGGTTAAACATCTTGATTGGTTTACTATCAAGCTTGTAACTTTTTTTCCTAGTCAAAATACAACAATGCAACTAACATCATCTTTTAGGTTTTGAATTTTTCTATCAGATTCATTTTAATTAAACTGCTTTTCAGCGCCGATGCAACACTTGTGGTATAGAGTTTCCGAATCTTTTCAACAATCGAAAAAACATCTTCCCAGTTACGAAGCACATTCTCTCGGAACGTCATCTAAAAAAACTTTTCGGAGTTCCACAGGCTCATGTCAATTTTTGGATCAATTTTTTGCATCTTGAAGTTAACGAGAAAAAGATAAGACCAGTTGATAAAGTTAGAATTTTGTCTAGGAAAAGTGAGTGTTTCGTTTTTTCTTTCTCATTAGAGCGTACTTCTTCCAGATACCTGTCCAATTCCATTGATTGATTTCAAGTTGGAGTCGGATTTTATGGAACAAAACGAACGACTTCCGAAAATCGATTGGCTTTACGGGATTTTTGAAAAAATCAAAGAGGACGAGTTGAAAAATGAGCCTATTAAGTTGGGGAATACAGGAAAAGAGTTAGTGGCACAGGAAGTCATTTGTTATGCTTGTGAACGAGCGAAAGAAAGTTTCGAGAATAATTTTCAACTAGTGACACATATTTTTTCAAGACGACATGTTAATTATGTGAGTTTTTGGAGCTTTTGGGGATTGTTAGGATTTTAGGGGTTCTCAGGGTTCTTAGTTATTCTCAGCTTCTATATTTTCTACTTCAGCTCCTCAAATTTGGTTTTTCTGAAAAAGCATTCATATGGTGGAAGAACACTCTAGAATCGCTCGTCAATCCCGAAGATCTTAAAATTCTGGAAATTTCGGGACCAATCGAGGAGAAGCCTCAATCCATCCAAAATGAAGAAGCGATGTCAGAAGCTTTAGAGAAATTGAAGAACTGTGGTATTCCGGATGATTTGGATTCGGATTCGGATTGATCGTCTTCGGATGAATCAGATTCAGATTCAGAATCAGAACCAGAATCATATGATGATTTAAGGGTGGAATTAGAGCGAGTGAGTGCTTCTTGGATTTTCGATTTATTTTCAAATTGAGATGCTTCCAGACATTCCAAGGATACCATTATTGGACAAACCAGAAGACGGAGTTGAGATGAGCCATTCCACTAGAAATCCTCTCTGGATTCTTGGTGCACGCATAAGAGAGCGTTGTACCGAGCGGCAAATATTGAGAGCGCAGAGCATGGTGAGTTTCAGATGGGCATAACGCGGTTCAAACTTGGAATTTTCATGAGAAATAAAATGACCGATGTAGAAGTAGGCCAGATCTACAAAGTATTATATAACCCGATTACATTGAAAAGACGAATTCCAAGATAGAGACTTTCAAACAGTCGGGTCCGCAACATTGGCCGGCGCATAACTCGCTTCAAACATGGTATTTTTAAACGAAACAAAAAGTAAATTGAAGAACTTGAGAAGAGCTACAGAATGATACATAAACTGACCATATTCAAGCGTAAAATTTTGGAACAGTGACGGTATAACAGGAGAGCCCGAAAAAAACGAACCGGATAACGCCCGCCCTTTGATGCCCCAGACTTTGATCTAAATTATCACGGTTCCTGATAAAGTTATCAAAAATTATAAACTACCAAAATGTTTAAGACAATATCAGGATTATTTTATCAGTTGACTATTTTTTGATATCTTTCACAGGATTCGAGGAAAATCGGCTCAAAATAAACGCCCTGTTTTTCAGATATTCTATGAAATTCGTTGCACATTTTGCGATGAAAATTTTCAAGCAATTAAACTCGGAAACCTATTATATACATTTTGGCACATTGCTTCTCGTGGGCATTGGGAGAAGGTAAGTATCAATGGAGCGCGTTAGCTCACCTCCACTCTTATATAATTTCAGATGAACTACATGGCGCCAACATCAGAGCTACAGTACTGGAAAACCTGGGCAAACTGTATTATTCAAGATACAATTGTAGAAAGTGAGCCTGATTTGAAAAACTATCGTAGCTGAATTTTTAAATTCAGACATCCCAAAGGTGCCAATGTTGGATCGTCCTGATTCTCAGCCAAACGAGGTTCTAATCTCAAGTGAGCGATTTTTTCAAACTTTAGAAAAATGAGTTTTTTGCATAAGAACAAATGGACCAAGTTCTCGGAGAACTTGGAAAAACTCTTGACCAAATAAAAATCATAAACTATGACAAAAATGTAAGAATTCCAAAAAAAGTTTTTTTTCCAAATCATGATCTTCAGGCTGTGCTTTGGACCTGTTCCTACTGTAGTGATTTGAAATTGTTTGTCTATTTTGGTACAAAGTTAGAGGCTTGGGATCATATCACATCTGATGAGCATAAGGAAAAGGTATGAGCTCTTTATTTTGAATTTCCGCCAAATCTCTCTTTTCCAGATGGTTAATAAGTGCACCGAGGCTGAACTAGAATATTGGAAGGAATGGATCACAAATCTGGAGATCATGTCAATGAAATATGAGAAAAAAGATTACGATATTTGTGAGAAACAATTTAAAACGCAAAAAAACTCAAATTTTCAGGCCAACGCCTTCACGGAGACATTTATGATAGGCAGCGAAGTGGGTTTTTTAAATTTTTTTAAAATGCAATACTTGTATTTTAGACGTACTAATTATCTTTCCAGTGAAGGATATCAAAATTTTGTCAATTGATAAAATATTGGTGATAATGTGACACACATTTTATTATTTAACATGTTTTTGATATCTCTTGTAAGATCTGAGAGAATTGAGCTCAGTGTGATCAACCGCGTAGACCAGTCGGCGGCGGTGCGGAATTTATCCCTTTATCAGTTGACAGGTTTTTGATATCTCTTATATGATATAGCTTATATTATAATTGAGCTCAAAGTGCAAAGCGTTCTATATGGTATTTTAAGCTCTATTTGAACTTACGGGTCCCACGAGGGTTTATGTGACCATTAGGAATTTGGGATCCTAATTTTTTAGTAAAAACCCATTTTCAAAAAAATTTTCAGATAATATGGAACCTTTCAAATTCCTATGAAACTCGTAGCCTTGAATTTTACAGGTCATTCGAGAGTTTAAAGGCCCTAATTAAATTTTTTAAGACTTATTATCAAAATTATTGATATTTTAGCAATTAGCGAGGTTTTCATGTTCTACGAGACACCAAAACTCAAAAAAAAAATCTAGAATTTTGAACAATAAAAACTTTTCAGATTCTCCACGAGTCCCGCTTATCGACCTACCACAGCCATTTGACACTAAAATATCGAGTGAGTTGGGTAAAAAAAGAAAACTGAAATTCTATGGACATTTCCAGGAGACCGCTTCAAACTAGTATACAATGGAAATCGCGAGCTTTTGAGCATTCTAAAACCGTGTGAAATCACTGAAAAGCATGTCGATGTAACATGTCATCACTGTCCAGGATCACCGAAATTCGCCACTGTTTGGGAGACGATGCAACACGTGTTCAATGAAATTCATGCTCAGAATGTGAGTTTGGTTGTTTCATTAGGGTGAAAATATGGCAAAAAATTCGGAGGGTACAAAAATTCGGGTAATTTGTACCGAATTTTTGTATTCTCCGAATAATTCGCCTGAAATTATCCATTTTTCAGATCAATTACATTGGAACATCGAAGGATTTTTTTCACTATAAGCTACTACTGAAACGAGTTCTGGTCAAACAGCCATTGCCAGGTAAAAAAACTGTACTTGAAAATGGGTCCATTAATATTTTTATCAACTTAAAAGATAAGATAGAAAAACTTAAGAGCTACAAAATGATATTACTTGGAATACTGTATCTTGTCTATGAACAAAGTTCCAAACCAAAACCCTCCTCTACGCGGTCAATTTCTTGGCTTTTTGTAACTTTATTCGTAGGCAAGATACAGTATTTTAAACTATATAATTTTGTAGCTCTTAAGTGTTTTTATATTATATATTATAGTTGGTTTAAAAATATCTGACCTGAAAAAAGATATACCACGAGGAACAAGTAGGCTCGCCCTTCTAGTAAAGGTACGATGCTTCTACGCGCCATATTTCATTAGGGCGCGCTTGCACAAAAAAGTTGCCAACTACAAAAAATGAAGACTTAAATTTCGTTGAATATATTCTGAAATTTTGAGACGAATTGGACAATTCTAGACTACTTTCGTAGGATGTCAAAGTTCCCTTTTTCCAGAGCCTCGTGAACAAACATCAATACCAAAACCAACATCGAAGGAACTCTGCTACAAACTGGAAATGTGTGTACTTCCACTTTTCCCCTCCCCTCTATTCAGAGAAACTGGCAAGTACTGTCGCGGACCAACGAATCGACAAATCCTTTTCATTCAAAGTTTGAGAGTCAGAGAAGATGTCAAGTTTTTCGAGAAACCTGTGAGTCCTATCGATTTTTCAAGAAAAAAAAACAGGAATGTTTTTCTTTCAGATGAAGTGCTTACTGTGTCAACTGGATATGTCGAACTTCTCAATTTTAGATGTTGCACGTCACGCATTTTCAATCAAACATCTTGAAAAAGTAGGTCAAAAAGTTTGGCTCTATTGTGGCTCAGGACGTTTGCCCCCCTCCATTTTCAAGATTTTTGAGATCCAATTCTAAAATTTTGACAAAAAAAAACAAATCAACATTTCCAGGCTCTGAGTCGTTGCAACATGTTTTTCGTTGAGGAATTCGAGTGGTGGATGGAAAAACTGAAGACGTCGTCGAATTTGATACCTTCTGAACCATCAGAATCTGCAGAATACTACGTCGGTGGATTAAAAACAATTATTGGGAACAGATATATTCCAGGTTAAAAAAGAAGAGCCAAGTTCGCTTTAATGAGAATATGTTTTAGTTTTCGAAAAACTCACCGAGAAAGAATTGAATTTGATTTCAAATGTGGATGAGCAGAAGGTTCGAGAAAATGAGGAAGTTTTGTTGAGACGGGTAATTTTTAGAGTTTTCCAAATTCCTAAATTTTCAAGTTTTTTGCAGTTCGGCGGATGCATCTACTGTGACTTATGGATTCCGACACCAACTGATATCTTCCCTCATTTCTTTTCTGAGCAACATTTTGAGAAGGTTTGTGGACATCGGGATAAACAGAAACACAGAAAAATTTTGAATGTTCAGGTCCGTGAGCATCATCCAGTGAAGCAGTTTGATGTGGACGATGTGATGAGTCTTGTGAAATTGTGCCAGAAATCGGATTGTTGAATTTCGAATCATTTTTTTGCATAATGATTATTTTTGACTCCTGGAAATTATTAAATCTTTTCTATCCTAAAACTGTGAATTTCGTTTTGCCCATTTTGTACTGAAAAAGTGAAAAAAACAGGTGTCTTTCAGTAATCGGTAATTAGCTGAACACCTAGGAATATTTTATACCCTTCAAAATTTTAAAAGTGATCGGTAACTAGGCAGCCCAGTTCCAGACCTACTGTCACTCGGATACAGGTCACCCGGATCCAGGTCACCCGAATCCAGGTCACCCGAATCCAGGTTACACGGCCAGGGTCGCCCGGATCCAGGTTATTCGGATCCAGGTCACCCAGATCCAGGTTACCCGAATCCCGGTCACCCGGCCAGGGTCACCCAGATCCGGGTTATCCGGATCCAGGTCACCTGGATCCAGATTACGCGGATCCAGGTTACCCGGATCCAGGTTGCCCGGAGCCAGGACCCAGGACCCAAGACCCAGGACCCAGGACCTGGGACCCAGGATCCCCGGGTCACCTTCTCTGGAGCCCAAAATTTTAAAGTGATCGGTAACTAGGCAGCCCAGTTCCAGACCTACTGTCACTCGGATACAGGTCACCCGGATCCAGGTCACCCGAATCCAGGTCACCCGGATCCAGGTCACCCGAATCCAGGTTACACGGCCAGGGTCACCCGGATCCAGATTACGCGGATCCAGGTTACCCGGATCCAGGTTGCCCGGAGCCAGGACCCAAGACCTTGGGGAACTGGAGAAAACTATAGGAAACATTTTGCCAAAGTTTGGGTATAGTTTTCTCCAGTTTTATAGTTTTCTCCAGTACTATAGTTTTCTCAAGTTTTCCCCAAAGTTTCAGCCAGATTGGAACACTCTCCGAGTTTTCGCGGAGTTTTTTTTTCCTTTTTTGCCGACTCCCTGAATAACCCCATTAGAAAAATAATTGTGTCAATAAATAGTTTGCTTTTCTCTACCAAAAGAACAGGTTGAGAGATCTCTTGCTCATTCTTATTGTAGCGTATGCGTCTCTTCAAGGGTTCCGCGTCTTAAGACATCCTTTTCTACTTCAGTGATGACTGAGAAAAGAGAAAGTTCGGTCACAGGAATGTGGAGATAAAGAAATACGAAGTGACGCAGACATATGGAGGGAAAGAAATACGAAGTGACGCAGACATACGGAGGGAAAGCCGAAAGAATCACCTATTTCTGACTCTCTTATTCTCGTAGAAATGACCACAAATGAAACAGTATTCTTCATTCGTGGTGGGTGAGTTTTCCAATTTTTCTGAATTAAAAAAATTAGAACTTTTCCAGTTACATCCTACTTGTCGACCTAGAGTCATGGTACAATAATGGATTTGTTACATCTGAAGATGAGTTCGAATGTTTGATGGGAAGAAAAAACGAGTTTGTACGATTAGTGAGTTGTTTATATTGTGTAAAATGTAAAATAACATAACAATTCCAACAAAAGTTTTTTTCCAGAAGACCTCATCAAGAATTATGGATGTCGATTTCCATTCCGTCGAGGCAACGACTCGCTTGTTGTTAATGATTTTGGTTATGGAATCAGTAAGTTTTTCACACTTTTGAGAAAGCTTAATTATCTCGGTTCCCATAAGAGCTATCAAAATTTTGCAGACAAATGAAATGTTAGTGATATTATGACAAACATTTTATTAGTGGAAAAATGGATGACATCTTATATAGGTAACGAGAAAATTGAACTCAACGGAGCGGTGTTCCAAGTCACGCGCCGACTGTGACCGCGTAGCTGCCAGTTGAGCTACGCGGTCCCATCATTTCAAGTTAAGTTATCTCGGTCTCTATAAAAGATATCAAGAATCTGTGAACAAAAAAAATTATGCGGACATTATGAAAAACATTTCATCAGTTGATAAATGTTTGATATCTTTTGTAGCAAACGAGATAATTGAGCTCAAAGTCTGAGAAAAATTGAAATACCAGAAAACGAAAATATCCCCCCGGAAATGACCAAATACTCAAAAGGACAACTATTGGGACAAAGATCCATGAAACGAGATTTCGAATTAAACCTGCCTGATGACATTTTGAGAGAGGTGGGACTTATGGACCTTATTGATTATCCCCTTCTTAATGTGGAAAACGAAGAGGATATGATTACAGGTAAACCTTTGACACCCTTTCATCTTGCTCCTGCAAGTTTTGAAAATATGGATTGCAGTAAACAAGGTTCTGAAAGAGTTTCATAAGCTGAGACAAACATGGGTGCTCCGAAATTGGAATTCGGACTATGCTGAATATTTTGAGTATCTGGACAGAGGATACAAAGGGAATGGTTTCAAGAGAACACAGGTGGGACTATCAGAAATCTGAAAGTAACTAGAACCTTTTTGAACTTTCTGAAAATCTTTCAGCCAATCTGCCGAATTTGTAAAGAGACACCAAAACACCTGATGGAACATTTATTCGGCTCCTTTCATACTTTGTATATGAAGAACTATAGTGTCTCACTGCGTTCCTTTGAATTCTGGTGCCGAAAACTTCAAGAATGTCTTGAAAAGTGTGGAAAGATACCTGGAGTTGATATTCGCAATTATGAACAGGGCACTCAAGAAGTTGATGAGATTCTAACAAATAAAAAAGAGCAGAAGAAGGAGAAGATGCTTGAAGGTTAGCTCAGATTCAGATTAAGTTTCAAGTCGAGTGGTTTTCAGAAAACGAAATAGTTTTACCGTCATACTCTCGGAGCCAAGTTCTGGCCGAACGATCGTTGAATCGAAAGTTTGAGCTGAATTTGTCGGAAGACATTTTGAAAGAATTAGGACGTACGCATCTTATTGATTATCCCCTTCTTAATGTGGACAATGAACCAGAAGAGGATAGGATTACAGGTGAATTACGAAACCTGTGATAGAAGGGCTCCTCTAACTGTTTTTGTCAGTTTATAACTTTTCGATATCTTTAACAGAAGACGAGATAGATTAGGTCAAAATTGAAAGTGTGGATAGAAGAGGTGTTCTGTTATATGTAGATTGGCAACCGCGTAGTTCGAGCTGTAGTGAACGACACTTTGAAGTTCGGAAGAGTATAATTGCTTCAAATAGCCCCTTTCTGGGAAGTTTGAATTTCAGGAAGAAAGGTCCTGAAAAAGTTCAATAAGCTGAGACAAGCTTGGGTGATCCAAAATTGGAATTCAAAATATGCTGAATATTTTGAGTATCTGGACAAAGGGTACAAAGGAAAGCCAATCTGCCGCGTCTGTAAGAAGCAACCAAAGAACATGATGAAGCATTTGTTGCTCATCCCTCATGCTGTATCTTTATCGCGATATAGTGTCTCTCGGCGTTCATTTGAATTTTGGTCCCAAAAACTGCAAGAATGTCTTGAAAAGTGCGGGAAGATACCTGGAGTTCATATATTCAGTTATGAACAAATAGTTTTACAAGACGTTAAGGATCAAAAAGAGCAGAAGAAAGAGATGCTTCAAGGTTAGTTGAGATTCAGATTAAGTTTCAAGTCGAGTGGTTTTCAGAAAACGAAATAGTTTTACCGTCATACTCTCGGAGCCAAGTTCTGGCCGAACGATCGTTGAATCGAAAGTTTGAGCTGAATTTGTCGGAAGACATTTTGAAAGAATTAGGACGTACGCCCCTTATTGATTATCCCCTTCTTAATGTGGACAATGAACGCAAAGAAGATAGAATTACAGGTAAGCCTCATTTTGTTAAATTTGACCCAATTTACCGTAAACACTCTAACAGAACGCCACCCGAATCGTCAAATTTGAGCCTATGTATCACATTTTCTGTGAAAGATATCAAGAAGTGTTTAACTAATGAAATGTTGCTGATATAATGATAAACATTTTATTAGTTGACAACTCTCCCATATCTTTTAAAAGAAAAGAGATATATAAGCTCAAAGATAAACTTGAAACCAAATGAATCTCAGAAATTGCAACAATCTCGCCTTCATATTCTCGAAGCCAACTCCTGGCCCTACGATCGCTGAAAACAACAGTTAATTTGAATTTGTCCGAGGACATATCAAAAATTGGGACCTATGGACCTTGATGTCAAAAATGAACCAAAAGAGAATAGAATTAAAGGTGAGTCGGTTCTTACTGTATATATTTTCCTTTGTGATTTACAAATAACTCAAAAGGGACGCGGGACTCCTATAGTGGTGTGTAGTATGAAGTCATGGGCTAATGCAATGGGTCTTCCCGCTAATAGTCCAAAAGACAACCTTTGACAAAATGAAATTGGGACATTTGCTTTTCCAGAAAATAGCAAGTTGGAATTGTCGATAAATGATCAATTGACGGAAACGTTTAACGACGAAAAGATCGAGATAGAAGGTAAGAAAATACAAAACATCTCGAATTAATTTTCAAACCAAATGAATCTCAGAAATTGCAACAATCTCGCCTTCATATTCTCGAAGCCAACTCCTGGCCCTACGATCGCTGAAAACAACAGTTAATTTGAATTTGTCCGAAGAAATATTGAAAGACTTGGGACCTATGGACCTTATTGACTATCCCCTTCTTAATGTGGACAATGAACCAGAAGAGGATAGGATTACAGGTGAGCAGTAAAACCGGGAATATGTAGAAGTAAAACCTGAAAATTCAAAATTGTATGAGTTTCAGGAGACTCAATCTTAAAGGAATTTGATAAGCTGAAACAATCTTGTGTGATAAAACATTGGAATGTATTTTATGCCCTTCATTTTGAGTTTCTTGCCAGAGGATACAAAGGAGATGGTTTGAAAATGACACAGGTGAGAATTTCGGACGTTTGGAAATGACTAAAACCTTTTTTGATCGTCCTATTAATCTTCCAGCCAATCTGCCGCATCTGCAACATGACACCAGAGTTCGCTCTGGAACATTTATTCAGCTACAAACATAAAGAAAAGCTGAAGTCCCATAGCGTCTCGTTGCGTTCATTTGAGTTTTGGTCCCAAAAGTTCAGAGAATGCATTAAAAGAACTTTTAAGGTTGCTTCTGTTTCTGTAACCGTAGCCCAACCCTTACAGTGGGACAAGTTCTGAAGTTGACAAAGAATCAAAATATGCAGAATTGGAAGATGCTTGAACGTCGGTTGGTTTATCGATAGATGCAAATTCTGATTTGAAGCAGTTCTTCCCTTTCTCTCTCCCCCCCCCCCCCCATTTCCCCTTCCCTTTATCTGATTAAAACTTTCTTATTCAATAAAATAATATATTAATCCACTGAACCACCTCGTCTTACCTACCAAATAAAGAGCCACCTACTAGTGGCCTTTATACCCATTCCCTTTTTACTGTACTTTGCATTCTTTTATTTTATTCAACCTGATTATTCAATAAAACCATATTTATCCACTGAACCACGTCGATTGTCCACCATACTAAAGAGCTAGCTACTACTAGCCTTTATACCAAAGTCAATCTTGAAGGATGAACAAACTAGAAAACCTTGTCAACGATTTTTAAAATGATTTTTCAAAATGAAAAACAACAGTTTTATTATGACTAAAATGATTTATATATGAATTGAATTTAAATAAAAAATCACATGGAGAAAAAAAACGAATTTCAGAATTTCGGGTTTACAGACCCTCCTCAAATCTTCGGCTTTCCGAACCACCTGAAATGCAAGCAAAAAACACAGTGTCTTCGAGATAGTTACAAATTTATTTTTAAAAAATTAATTTTAAAAATCCAAAAAAAAAATTACGATCATTCAGTCATATTGCGGTTCCTGAAATTAGGATCAAGTTGGAAAATGAACCAATAATTTTATAGAAATTCACATTAAGGAATACGCCTCTGGATTCTCGTTTGTTTGGGAATACCTCGAGGTATTTATATATTTCCCGCAAATTTCAGAAGTTCGATGAATTCAAAAAAAAGAAACCGACTTACGGTGCCCCGCTCTCTATGCAATATCTTCTACTGGAAGAGTAGAATACCTCTGAAAATTGATGCACATTTTTTTCGATACATTTTGTTTTGACCTACCTGAACTAGTCTGGTAACGATGTCAACGTTCTTTAAGGGTACTGTTCTGAAATTTTATTTATTGAGATTTTGCTAAATTTTTTGATTTCTCAAAAGCTGAAATTCCTGTCATTGCTTTTCGAGATCTGTTATCTCAGTTCCTATAAGAGATATCATTAATTTGTAAACTACAAAAATATTAGTGACATTATGATGAACATTTTATCAGTTGACAAATTTTTGATATCTTTTACAGGAACCGAGATAATTGAGAAAAATGGGAAGTTTAGGACAACGGCCTGTTAGAGCACTTATGTACTTGAGGTCTGTCAACTTTGAGCTTAGTTATCTCGGTTCCTATGAGAGATTTCAAAAAATTATCAATTGATAAAATGTTTATCAGAATATCATTAGCATTTTTGTAGTTCACTCTTTTTTGATAGCTCTTGTATGAACCGAGATAATTGAGTTCAAAGTGCACAACTTTAATTCTCTAAAAATTCAAATTTGGTTCGTTCTATTAGAGCATTTAGAGTAGGTTTTACGGAAGTTACTGTAGCTGTATTTTCGAACATTTTGGGTCTCTGAGTATTTCTAGAATTTCTAATTTTATTCCAATAATTTGGACTTTTTTGGGATTTTTGATTTTTTGGAATTTTCTAGAATTTTGTGGAATTTCTGAAAACCTGAAATTCTGAAAAGGAGAAAACATTTTTTTAATCATTGGAATTTTTATTTACATGGCACCGGAAGCTACATTCGAAACGAACCCGTATTGTGTACAGGATATTGAGGGGCGGGAAATTCGAAAAAAAAACATTTTTGGGGCAAAAATTAGAAATTTACAAGAAAAAACAACTAAAGCACTGACCCGTTTTTCAGGGGAAATGGGGAAGAAAATGAAAAGAAAAATGATTAAAGTGCTCCTAGTATAGGAAATTTTGAGAGAAAAATATGAAAAAAAAAGCAAAAAAAATGAATAATTGGGAATCAACAAACAGCTTCGGCCATCTCCATAACTGGCTCCAGAACTGGTCGGAATTTATTTTTGGCTCCAGAATTTCTGCGGCCCATTGGCTCGTCTGGGATCATATTTGGATCTTGTTCGGGGCTCTGAAATTTGGAAAATATTGATTTTCGAACCGAATTTTCGAATTTTTGGAATCTTAGGATGTTTCAAAATTTCAAAATCTCCAAATCACTAACCGCTGGTCTCGCTGGAATCGCAATATTCAAGTACACATCAGGCAACAGTTGTTCCGGTTGTGCCTCATCTCTCACCAGCCGCACGGAGCCAGAGTTTTCCTTTACGTTCTGTAATCAGTGATAAGAAACCTTGTATCTCGTGATAAACTTTTTTGAAAAGAAAGTGTATTTTGATTCGGCTAAATGTTGTATCAAAAGTTAGCAATTTTTGAGCTTAATTATCTCGGCTTCTTTAAGAGATATCAAAAATTGGTCAACTGATAAAATGTTTATCATAATGTCATCTACATTTCATTAGTTGACACAATTTTGGAAGCTCTTACAGGATTCGAGATAATTAAGCTCAAAGGGCAAGTATAGAATGACAGAGCCTATACTCAAGGTCTATCAATTTTGAGCTCAGTTATCTCGGTATCTATGAAAGATAACAAAAATTTGTTAACTGATAAAATGTTTATCGTAAAAATTTCAGCATTTTTGTAGTTTACAAAGTTTTGATAACTTTTATAGATGCCGAGATAACTGAGCTCAAAGTTGAATTTCAGCTTTGATCAGTATGTACTAATTAAAATACTAATTAACTAATTAAAAATAATATTTACCTGCTCATAGGCAATCAACTGTCTCCAGAATCCAAGGTTCGGTCGGACCATCACTCGCTTGGACTTCATCAGATGATAAGCCTCACGAAGGTTTCGGCATCTGGAAAAACCAGAAGCTCAAATTGTGACACGTGGTTTTTAGGACAAACATTTGCATAAGGGTTTGCATTTAGGGTGGGAAAATTGGAAATTGTTTTGTTTCAGATGAGAAAATTCTTGTTAGAAAATGATATCAGAATTGTGGGAGCTTTGACTTCTATGCTAGCGGTTAAGCTGTACGGCACTCGCTTTACTCGCTCTTTCAAGCTCAATTATCTTGGTTCCCATAAAAGATACCAAACATTTGTCAATTGATAAAATGTTTATCACATCATTATTGATATTTTTGTAGTTAACAAGTTTTTGATAACTCTTATAAAAGCCGAGATATACGCTCATGACATTCGTGATGGCAAGGCTCCACGTCCAGCGTCTAAGGAGGTCTCAAAAGGAAGTAAAATCGCGAAGCACGCCCGCCAGCTCTCGGATACACTTCGCAACCTTTCCATCATCAAAAAGTAGTGAT